GTTGTGAGAGTACTGGTGGGGTGTGTGGGCTATGGTAGTACTGGTGGGAGTGTGTTGGCTGTGTGAGTACTGGTGGGGTGTGTGGGCTATGTGAGTACTGGTGGGGTGTGTTGGCTGTGAGAGTACTGGTGGGGTGTGTTGGTTGTGAGAGTACTGGTGGGGTGTGTGGGCTGTGGTAGTACTGGTGGGGGTGTGTTGGCTGTGTGAGTACTGGTGGGGTGTGTGGGCTGTGTGAGTACTGGTGGGGTGTGTTGGTTGTGGGAGTACTGGTGGGGGTGTGATGGCTGTGTGAGTACTGGTGAGGTGTGTTGGCTGTGTGAGTACTGGTGGGGTGTGTTGGCTGTGAGAGTACTGGTGGGGTGTGTTGGCTGTGAGAGTACTAGTGGGGTGTGTTGGCTGTGTGAGTACTGATGGGGTGTGTTGGCTGTGAGAGTAGTGGTGGGGTGTGTTGGCTGTGTGAGTACTTGTGGGGTATGTTGGCTGTGTGAGTACTTGTGGGGTATGTTGGCGGTGTGAGTACTTGTGGGGTATGTTGGCTGTGTGAGTACAGGTGGGGTGTGTTGGCTGTGTGAGTACTGATGGGGTGTGTTGGCTCTGAGAGTACTGGTGAGGTGTGTTGGCTTTGAGAGTACTGGTGGGGTGTGTTGGCTGTGGGAGTACTGGTGTGGTGTGTTGGCTGTGTGAGTACTGTTGGGGTGTGTTGGCTTTGAGAGTACTGGTGGGGTGTTTTGGCTGTGTGAGTACTGGTGGTGAGTGTTGACTGTGAGAGTACTGGTGGGGTGTGTTGGCTGTGAGAGTACTGGTGGTGAGTGTTGACTGTGAGAGTACTGGTGGGGTGTGTTGGCTGTGAGAGTACTGGTGGGGTGTGTTGGCTGTGTGAGTACTGGTGGGGTGTGTTGATTGTGAGAGTACTGGTGGGGTGTTTTGGCTGTGTGAGTACTTGTGGGGTGTGTTGATTGTGAGAGTACTGGTGGGGTGTTTTGGCTGTGTGAGTACTGGTGGGGGTGTGTTGGCTGTGTGAGTACTGGAGGGGTGTGTTGGCTTTGTGAGTACTGGTGGGGTGTGTTGGCTTTGTGAGTACTGGTGGGGTGTGTTGGCTGTGAGAGTACTGGTGGGGTGTGTTGACTGTGTGAGTACTGGTGGAGTGTGTTGACTGTGAGAGTACTGGTGGGGTGTGTTGGCTGTGAGAGTACTGGTGGGGGTGTGTTGGCTGTGTGAGTACTGGAGGGGTGTGTTGGCCTTGTGAGTACTGGTAGGGTGTGTTGACTGTGTGAGTACTGGAGGGGTGTGTGTTGGCTTTGTGAGTACTGGTGGGGTGTGTTGGCTTTGTGAGTACTGGTGGGGTGTGTTATCTGTGTGAGTACTGGAGGGGTGTGTTGGCTTTGTGAGTACTGGTGGGGTGTGATGGCTGTGTGAGTACTGGTGGGGTGTGTTGTCTGTGAGACTACTGGTGGGGTGTGTTGGCTGTGTGAGTACTGGTGGGGTGTGTTGGCTGTGTGAGTACTGGTGAGGTGTGTTGGCTGTGTGAGTACTGGTGGGGTGTGTTGGCTGTGTGAGTACTGGTGAGGTGTGTTGGCTGTGTGAGTACTGGTGGGGGTGTGTTATCTGTGTGAGTACTGGAGGGGTGTGTTGGCTGTGTGAGTGCTGGTTGGGTGTGCTGGCTGTGTGTGTACTGGTGGGGTGTGTTGGCTTTGGGAATACTGGTGGGGTGTGTTATCTGTGTGAGTACTGGAGGGGTGTGTTGGCTTTGTGAGTACTGGTGGGGTGTGTTGGCTGTGTGAGTACTGGTGGGGTGTGTTGTCTGTGAAAGTACTAGTGGGGTGTGTTGTCTGTGAGACTACTGGTGGGGTGTGTTGGCTGTGTGAGTACTGGTGAGGTGTGTTGGCTGTGTGAGTACTGGTGGGGTGTGTTGGCTTTGTGAGTACTGGTGGGGTGTGTTGGCTGTGTGAGTACTGGTGTAGTGTGTTGGCTGTGAGAGTACTGGTGGGGTGTTTTGGCTGTGTGAGTACTGGTGGGGTGTGATGGCTGTGTGAGTACTGGTGGGGTGTGTTGGCTTTGTGAGTACTGGTGGGGTGTGTTGGCTGTGTGAGTACTGGTGGGGTGTGTTGGCTTTGTGAGTACTGGTGGGGTGTGTTGGCTGTGAGAGTACTGGTGGGGTGTGTTGGCTGTGTGAGTACTGGTGTAGTGTGTTGGCTGTGAGAGTACTGGTGGGGTGTTTTGGCTGTGTGAGTACTGGTGGGGTGTGTTGGCTGTGGGAATACTGGTGGGGTGTGTTATCTGTGTGAGTACTGGTGGGGTGTGTTGGCTTTGTGAGTACTGGTGGGGTGTGTTGGCTGTGGGAATACTGGTGGGGTGTGTTATCTGTGTGAGTACTGGCGGGGTGTGTTGGTTTTGTGAGTATTGGTGGGGTGTGTTGGCTGTGTGAGTACTGGTGGGGTGTGTTGTCTGTGAAAGTACTGGTGAGGTGTGTTGTCTGTGAGACTACTGGTGGGGTGTGTTGGCTGTGTGAGTACTGGTGGGGTGTGTTGGCTGTGTGAGTACTGGTGGGGTGTGTTGGCTTTGTGAGTACTGGTGGGGTGTGTTGGCTGTGTGAGTATTGGTGGGGTGTGTTGGCTTTGTGAGTACTGGTGGGTTGTGTTGGCTGTGTGAGTACTGGTGGGGTGTGTTGGCTTTGTGAGTACTGGTGGGGTGTGTTGGCTGTGTGAGTATTGGTGGGGTGTGTTGGCTTTGTGAGTACTGGTGGGGTGTGTTGGCTGTGAGAGTACTGGTGGGGTGTGTTGGCTGTGTGAGTACTGGTGTAGTGTGTTGGCTGTGAGAGTACTGGTGGGGTGTTTTGGCTGTGTGAGTACTGGTGGGGTGTGTTGGCTGTGTGAGTACTGGTGGGGTGTGTTGGCTGTGAGAGTACTGGAGGGGTGTGTTGGCTGTGTGAGTACTGGTGGGGTGTGTTGTCTGTGTGAATACTGGTGGGGTGTGTTGGCTGTGTGAGTACTGGTGGGGTGTGTTGGCTGTGTGAGTACTGGTGGGGTGTGTTGGCTGTGTAAGTACTGGTGGGGTGTGTTGGCTGTGAGAGTACTGGGGGGGTGTGATGGCTCTGAGTACTGGTGGGGTGTGCTGGCTGTGAGAGTACTGGTGGGGGTGTGATGGCTCTGAGTACTGGTGGGGTGTGCTGGCTGTGAGAGTACTGGTGGGGTGTGCTGGCTGTGAGAGCACTGGTGGGGTGTGCTGGCTGTGAGAGTACTGGTGGGGTGTGTTGAGGTGTGAGACTTCACAGCAGCGGATAAGGAATGGGACAAAAAGATAATGACATAAAGATACTAGGGGGGGGGTGGATAAATTAGACATAGAAGCAATATTCAGAGTGAAGAGCAGCAGTGTGAGAGAATATAATTAGACTCACAAATGGCTCACAAAGCTGTCAAGAGGAATTCAGTATAATAGTTCTATTTAACTGGACCGGAGTAGATGAGGAAGTTGGTGAATTCCCCGCGATACATCAGCTTTATATATAAGAAAAATAACCGATTAAAAGCCGAAAGGAGCAGACAGCTCCCGGGCGTCGTAGTCCAATGAGCCCCGGGTTCGATTCTTGGTTGAGGCAGAAACAAATGGGCAGCGCTTCTTTCATCTCACGCCTCTGTTCACCTATCAGTAAATAGGTATCTGGGGGTTAGACAGCTGCTACGGGCAGCTTAGTGGGGGGATGTGTGTGTGTGTGTACTCACCTAGTTGTGTCTGCAGGATCGAACGTTGACTCTTGGATCCCGCCTTTCGAGCATTTCAGCATTTCCTGTGTGTGTGTGTGTGTGTGTGTATGTATGCGTGTGTGTGTGTGTGTGTGTGTGTGTGTGTGTGTGTGTGTGTGTGTGTGTGTGTGTGTGTGTGTGTGTGTGTGTGTGTGTGTGTGTGTGTGTGTGTGTGTGTGTGTGTGTGTGTGTGTGTGTGTGTGTGTGTGTGTGTGTGTGTGTGTGTGTGTGTGTGTGTGTGTGTGTGCGTGCGTGCGTGCGGCCGCTGCCTCCATCTGCGTGAGTCAAGACCCGTGCCACTGACCTTTGACGACCTGCTCATCAACCAGACCACCTCCTGCTCATCAACCATACCACCACCTGCTCATCAACCAGACCACCACCTGCTCATCAACCTGACCACCTCCTGCTCATCAACCTGACCACCTCATGCTCATCAACCTGACCACCACCTGCTCATCAACCTGACCACCTCCTGCTCATCAACCTGACCACCTCCTGCTCATCAACCTGACCACCACCTGCTCATCAACCTGACCACCACCTGCTCATCATCCTGACCACCTCCTGCTCATCAACCTGACCACCTCCTGCTCATCAACCTGACCACCACCTGCTCATCAACCTGACCACCACCTGCTCATCAACCTGACCACCTGCTCATCAACCAGACCACCTCCTGCTCATCAACCTGACCACCACCTGCTCATCAACCTGACCACCTCCTGCTCATCAACCAGACCACCACCTGCTCATCAACCTGACCACCACCTGCTCATCAGCCAGACCACCTCCGGCTCATCAACCAGACCACCACCTGCTCATCAACCAGACCACCTCCGGCTCATCAACCAGACCACCTCCGGCTCATCAACCAGACCACCACCTGCTCATCAACCAGACCACCTCCTGCTCATCAACCAGACCACCTCCTGCTCATCAACCTGACCACCTCCGGCTCATCAACCTCACGTGGGCCTCTCCACTTTGTCGAGAGGGCGAATTTTCCCGCCACAATTAACTCTGGTCGAGTAATGACTCAGAGAGCGCGGCGAGCGGCCAGCTGGAATAGTGGCTGTGTTACCCGGTATGAGGAGCAGAGGGGGAATAGTGGTTGGGGGGGGGGAGAAGAGGGGGGGGGGAAGAGGGGGGGGGGAGAAGAGGGGGGGGGAGAAGAGGGGGGGGGGATGGGGGTTGTCTGGGCATAGTCCTCGCGCCCCACACTAGCCAGGTCCGGGTCACGTAGAGGTTAGACCACTATTTGCGCCTTGTGTTACGTAATGTCTGACAGTTGTTGTGGGAGTGTTCGTATAATGACAGCTGCATGGCACTGCTCTCGTGGCTCTCTCGTGGCACTCTCGTGCATTGGCACTGCTCTCGTGGCTCTCGTGGCATGGCACTGCTCTCGTGGCACTCTCGTGCCATGGCACTGCTCTCGTGGCTCTCGTGGCATGGCACTGCTCTCGTGGCATGGCACTGCTCTCGTGGCTCTCTCGTGGCATGGCACTGCTCTCGTGGCTCTCTCGTGGCATGGCACTGCTCTCGTGGCTCTCTCGTGGCACGGCACTGCTCTCGTGGCTCTCTCGTGGCATGGCACTGCTCTCGTGGCTCTCTCGTGGCACGGCACTGCTCTCGTGGCTCTCTCGTGGCATGGCACTTCTCTCGTGGCTCTCTCGTGGCACGGCACTGCTCTCGTGGCTCTCGTGGCATGGCACTGCTCTCGTGGCTCTCTCGTGGCATGGCACTGCTCTCGTGGCTCTCTCGTGGCATGGCACTGCTCTCGTGGCTCTCTCGTGGCACGGCACTGCTCTCGTGGCTCTCTCGTGGCATGGCACTGCTCTCGTGGCTCTCTCGTGGCACGGCACTGCTCTCGTGGCTCTCTCGTGGCATGGCACTTCTCTCGTGGCACGGCACTGCTCTCGTGGCATGGCACTGCTCTCGTGGCACTCTCGTGGCACGGCACTGCTCTCGTGGCATGGCACTGCTCTCGTGGCACTCTCGTGGCATGGCACTGCTCTCGTGGCACTCTCGTGGCATGGCACTGCTCTCGTGGCACTCTCGTGGCATGGCACTGCTCTCGTGGCACTCTTGTGGCACGGCACTGCTCTCGTGGCATGGCACTGCTCTCGTGGCATGGCACTGCTCTCGTGGCTCTCTCGTGGCATGGCACTGCTCTCGTGGCATGGCACTGCTCTCGTGGCTCTCTCGTGGCACGGCACTGCTCTCGTGGCTCTCTCGTGGCATGGCACTGCTCTCGTGGCTCTCTCGTGGCACGGCACTGCTCTCGTGGCTCTCTCGTGGCATGGCACTTCTCTCGTGGCTCTCTAGTGGCACGGCACTGCTCTCGTGGCATGGCACTGCTCTCGTGGCACGGCACTGCTCTCGTGGCTCTCTCGTGGCATGGCACTGCTCTCGTGGCACTCTCGTGGCATGGCACTGCTCTCGTGGCATGGCACTGCTCTCGTGGCATGGCACTGCTCTCGTGGCACTCTTGTGGCACGGCACTGCTCTCGTGGCTCTCTCGTGGTATGGCACTGCTCTCGTGGCATGGCACTGCTCTCGTGGCACTCTCGTGGCACGGCACTGCTCTCGTGGCATGGCACTGCTCTCGTGGCATGGCACTGCTCTCGTGGCATGGCACTGCTCTCGTGGCACTCTCGTGGCATGGCACTGCTCTCGTGGCACGGCACTGCTCTCGTGGCTCTCTTGTGGCATGGCACTGCTCTCGTGGCATGGCACTGCTCTCGTGGCACTCTCGTGGCACTCTCGTGGCATGGCACTGCTCTCGTGGCTCTCTCGTGGCATGGCACTGCTCTCGTGGCACTCTCGTGGCATGGCACTGCTCTCGTGGCATGGCACTGCTCTCGTGGCACTCTCGTGGCATGGCACTGCTCTCGTGGCACTCTCGTGGCATGGCACTGCTCTCGTGGCACTCTCGTGGCATGGCACTGCTCTCGTGGCATGGCACTGCTCTCGTGGCATGGCACTGCTCTCGTGGCACTCTCGTAGCATGGCACTGCTCTCGTGGCACTCTCGTGGCATGGCACTGCTCTCGTGGCTCTCTCGTGGCATGGCACTGCTCTCGTGGCACTCTCGTGGCATGGCACTGTTTTGCTCTCTCACGATACTTCCTGACAGTATAACTGGGGTTTAAAACCATATAAACCATATTGTAAACGAACAATGTAAACTTTGTAAATCACGTCATGAAATGTAGCGCTTCTCTCCGGAGTGAATCTTCTCAATAAGTTATCAACAAATGGTACAAATACCTGCTGCCTAAATTTGGAAGTGATATCACACTAAAAATACATCAAACATGTATCTGTAAGTGAAAAGGATTTTGTCCAAATACAGGACATATACATTTGCAGTTTAGATAACTTTTGAACGTAATCGACTACATAACATGCCTGTGGTAGGTCATACGTTCAGTAGTCCGTCCTCCTAAGGTGTCCCCAACGTCAAAAAACTGTTGTACTAAAGCGCCCCCCTTATCCTAACCTACAAGAGGACCCAAAACAGAAAACGGGACAGTCCGTCACTTTCACCTGCTGCTTCCATTTTCTAACACGACAATTTTTGGCCTTTGGTAACGCATACGTGCGAAAAGCGACGTTTTATGTATTAGGGCAGGTTGCATTCAGGGCCTCGCGAGCGATTTCGTCTGGGTTCGAGGCCCGAACAAAGGAGGTTATCTGAAGGTTATCTTGAGATGATTTCGGGGCTTAGCCTCCTCGCGGCCCGGTCCTCGATCAGGCCTCCTTTTTGTTACACTTCCCGAGAAAGCATCCCGTAGCAGCTGTCTAACTCCCAGGCACCTATTGCCTGCTAGGTGAACAGAAGCATCAGGGTGAAAGAAACTCTGCCTATTTGTTTCCGCCTCTTCCGGGGATCGAACCCGGAACCTCAGGAGTACGAATCCGAAGCGCTGTCCACTCAGCTGTCAGGTGCCTTTGAGCCATTCTCAAGACCATCACTCCATTTATTGGCTGACTCGATTTTAAAACATGTAGACACGTGATAATTGAAGCCAAGTGACCAAATTAAGGCTCTTGGACCCAGATTCACGAAGCAGTTACGCAAACACTTACGAACCTGAGTCCAGATTCACGAAGCAGTTACGCAAACACTTACGAACCTGAGTCCAGATTCACGAAGCAGTTACGCAAACACTTACGAACCTGTACATCTTTTCTCAATCTTTGGCGGCTTTGTTTACAATCATTACAATCATTTACTCTGCCCGAAACGCTGCGCGTACTAGTGGCTTTACAAGACTGTAATTACCATATTTGTATCCTCACATTTCTTATGTACATTCTTGTATATGAATAAATAAATAAATAAATAAATTAAACAGTTAATGAGCTCCGAAGCACCAAGAGGCTGTTTATAACAATAACAACAGTTGATTATGAAGTTTTCATGCTTGTAAACTGTTTAATAAATGTAAACAAAGCCGTCAAAGATTAAGGAAAGATGTACACGTTCGTAAGTCCTTGCGTAACTGCTTCGTGAATCTGGACTCAGGTTCGTAAGTGTTTGCGTAACTGCTTCGTGAATCTGGACTCAGGTTCGTAAGTGTTTGCGTAACTGCTTCGTGAATCTGGCTCCTGGTCTTCAGCTGATTCCTAGTTCATCCTGTACCTTGCCTGATTGTAACTTAACCTTAAATAGTAAATTAAATTAACTAAATTATTAAATTATACATTAACTTGCATACATTAACATTAAATTATATAAATTAACTTGCCCGAAACGCTATGCGTACTAGTGGCTTTAGGTACTGTATGTACTATCTCTATCTTTAAATTCAACATTATGTATGTAACTCAATGTATCTTTACTTGAATAAAAAATCTAATTTAAATCTAATAACTCATTGAATAGACCAGTTTTGGGGTTAGGTTTCAGATGTAGGCTATCAACACCTAGCTTATATTATCTTAAGGATAATAAATACTGTTCTTAGTAAACCCAAGACTTAGGAGAGAATGAGGAAGGGGAGGGAGACAGAAAAAGTGAGAAATATGAAGGATGAGAAAATAATTTAGTGTTCTCCACTATTATCTGCAAGCCGAAGGGCAGGCGGGTTATTCGCAAAAACACCAGTTGGGATCTACATACCTTCACCAGTGGATTCAGTAGGGTTGAATACCTTTTGTTCTGACCCCTTCTTTCAGCCTGTCCTCTTAAAAATAACGTCGATTTTAGCCGTTTGCCCGTATGGCCGAATTTGGACGTAATTTGAAAATATAAAAAAAAAAATGAAAATAAATTTGGGATATTTTTTTTTTCGAAAACAGTAAGTTAAGGGTCCTCTCATAGGTTAGGTGGGCAGGAAATTCTCATAAAGTTTCAAAACGTTATGAAAAACGTTAATTGAAAGTGATCTATTCTAACCATACAGAGTCGGTCGGACGACTCAAATAGAAAACGGAACAGTACGTCACTTTTGTGAGTCGATTTCATTTCAAATTACGTCCATGTTTGGCCATAGCGCGCATACGAGCCAAAAGTGACGTTATTTTTAAGAGGACGGGTTGAGTGCTATATAGTCGTAATGGCTTGGTGCTTTTCCCTCTGATAATTCCCTCCCTCTCTCCCTAATTCAACAAGTTGATAGCCATGATGTTTAGTAAATTGACTACATGAAGGCTTTGACACACAGTTGGCTCCAGCTTCACCCTATAACTAGCATAATTGTAACTTAGTAACTTTACACTAAATTAAGCTCGTTGCTAATGGAAACAAATAACCTCATTGAATAAATTAGTCTCTAGGGTCAGGCTTCAGATGAGCTTTTAGATTGCAGTTTCATCAGATTCATCAGTGACATCCATTATGAACTGTTGTCTTAGTTTAAACAACAGGAACACAAGGTGGAAGAGCAGGAAGGGAATGGACAGTGTTGTGGAACGAATTAATCAATTAGTATACACAACATGTCATCACACTCAATACATCACTTATTTAAAGGAATTTATCAATCTGTCATAATTAAAGTACCGCAGTAATAATTTTTTTTAGTTTGAAGATTGGCCTGGGTAGGTAAGTTGACCAGACCACACACTAGAAAGTGAAGGGACGACGACGTTTCGGTCCGTCCTGGACCATTCTCACAATCGAATTGAGAATGGTCTAGGACGGACCGAAACGTCGTCGTCCCTTCACCTTCTAGTGTGTGGTCTGGTCAACACACTTCAGCCACGTTATTGTGACTCATCGCCTGCATCTGGGTAGCTAAGTGTGTTACTCAGGTCCAAACTGTTCTGGCTGGGTGAGAACATTGTTTAACAGATGTTAGGATGGCGAGAACGGCCTGAATACATCCCCCATAAAAATGGCAAGCACGAGGGGGGGTCGCATCATGGGCTTTGTCTGCTAAAGACCCACAATGAATGAGAGGAGAAGCCAGAGGAGACACGCACAGGGGCTCCTCTCCACCACCGTCTTCTGAATGAAACTTAGAAACTGACGTAGAGAGCTATATATAGATGTCACCTCATGCAGCTCCATTAATGCCTTGCGGTTAGGCTCCAAATTGCTTAAAAACACATAATGGCGTCCGTTTATGAAAGGCAAAAAAATAATGAATGAAGAGCTTACAAATAAATTCTGCTCCAGACAGGAGAGCAAAACAGTTTTCTTCTGTCTGTCTGTCTGTCTGTCTGTCTTGCAAATTATAATATCAGGTTCAGCTAATAAATCTACAGCAAAAGTTTGTTAAATAAATATTAGAATTTATCATATGCACTGATGTTGTTAATATTACGATGATCTTTGTGTGTGTTCTTATCACAGAGTTTCTCGACTGACTTAATATGAGAATAGAGGGAAGTGAGCTCCAGCTCCTGTCCCCGGAATGTTAGCATTAATTAACTGTTCGGAAGTCACACGGAAACTTACATGTAATACATATAATGAAAGCCTAATAACAGGAGTTTATATATATATATATATATATATATATATATATATATATATATATATATATATATATATATATTCATATATATGTATATATATATATATATATATATATGTGTATATATATATATATATATATATATATATATATATATATATATATATATATATATATATATATATATATATATATATATATATATATATATATATATATATATATATATATATATATATATATAAACTCCTGTTTTATATATATATATATATATATATATAAACTCCTGTTATATATATATATATATATATATATATATATATATATATATATATATATATATATATATATATATATATATATATATATATATATATATATATATATATAAAATGTCGTCATAGGAAGAGTTATTACATGGTAATCAGACCTCCCAGAGTATGGAATCGATGTCTTTGAGAAAACTGTAGTGAGGTGGAAAAAATTTTTTAAGATGAATTTAAGGGATTACGGAGGGAAGCATGGAAGGTGGGCTGGCCTTGGGCTAAAAAGGAACTTGGTATCATACCTGCCGCTGAACAGACTAGTTTATTTAGTGAAAAGGGGGGAGGGAGTTTACTGGGGAAAGCGCCAAGCCATTACGACTATATATAACTTCGAAGGGTTCTGAATAAGGATTTGGGATAGGACGGGGAGGAAGGAATGGTGCCCAACCATTCAGACGGTCCGGGGGATTGAACGCCGACCTGCGTGAAGCGAGACCGTCGCTCTACCGTCCAGCCCAAGTGGTTGGTGGGGAGGAAGTTATTAAACAGATTAAATTATAGCCCAACAAGTTCCCTTGCAGCCAGACGAAGTATTTGCCAGGTTTCTCAAGACGTATGATACATATTTACTGCATCATTAGTATCCAGGAAGGTTGCAAATGTGGCGCCAATTGTAATTTTTTGTTAGGTTAGGTTAGGTTAGGTTAGGTTAGGTTACTTTCGGTTAGGTTAGGTTAGGTCACTTTAGGTTAGGTTACCTTAGATAATGTTACGTTAGGTTAGGTTAGGTTAGTTTTCATTATTGTATTTAACAGTCTCCGTCCCAAGTTATAAGTCAAATACTGACTTATGTAAATTTTGTTATATCAGCACTAGGGGGGGGGAGTGGTACCCGGCGTTGCTCG